AGAGACTTCAATAATGAAGCACCAATAAAATCTGTTTATTACGCATTCGTTTACAATGACTTGAATTTTGGGAACGTTATAGGGAATTAACGTTATAATTTCAACAAGTTAAGGCTCGAATGACTTCAAAACAAATTTGTGAGATTTATCCACTCCAAATGAACAGAAGTTCATTATCTTACTATAAGAATATTGTTTTCAACACGATATTCTTCCTTTAGATTAGAACAACGTAGAATCATATATGATTTATTAATTACCTATGAAATCTTTTATATCCATTTTCTTTACCCATTTTAGTATTGAATATTTTGTACTTCAACGATCTACCAGATATAGATAGTTAGTCGGTAGTAGTTGTAATACAAATTTAGGTGAAAATTCTCCAATTGTTAGAATGCGTGATTCGATTAACAAATATTGTGGTAATCTCGATGTTTCCTCTAAGTCTTCATTTGCTTTCGAAAGAACTTTCCTGATTATGTTCAAGCAATTACTTTTTGTTTTATAATCATTAGTAGGTTAACAGCTATTCAGGAATTTGTGATACATTGATTGTTACGACACCAAATGGTTCTTGTACTGTAAAATTTATTCATTCATCAAAGATATGTTTGCATTAACGTTAGTTACAAATTCAAGTGGTAAAAAAACAGGAAGTTTTCTCATTTTTTATGATGATCTCCCACCACGTAAGAGAAGCTACATCCGTCAATTGTGTTGTATGCAAATATCACGTTGCCTTTGATATTTACACATGGATAAATATTTGAGATACTCAATTTCAAAGAGTGTACACCAGAAACAATGAACTTGATTATAATAGATCATGTTCAATTAAAAAATCAAAATGTAAGTTTCAATATATTTTCCTTTCCTGGAATAAAAATTTACACAAAACACTAACTTAGTGAGTTGAATTTATCATTATCTGAATTAGTTACTATTAACGGATCAACTTCTATCAAAATCCTTCCTTGTGTTAGGCAGTAACGAGGCATTTTATGCCATGTTCTATTCTGTAGTAAGTAGAGAAAATACACCAATTATAATAAAACAATAATGGCTGATTCATTACTTTCACTATAAAAAAAATTGTAACGTAACGTAAAAAGGTAACGTAATGATAGCGTTAATTTTTCATGTAAGTTGCATCTTCGAACGAATCACAGTTGACTAAATTCATGATTTACCGTTTTATGTCACATGTACATGTTAATTCTCACTAGGAGATGTATTTCCAATAAAATAACAGCTGTTACTGCTTCTTTCATGTAGTGGTCCTTGGTGATATCTACTGAAGAAGGCCACGGACGGTCCTGCATCTAGTTGAAATATGTGGATGACACTACTATTTTTAGATCTAGGAAGATGCAGAAAAAAATAAGTTTCTACACGTGGACATGAGGAGGTCTAATAACATGAAAAACATTACAACAGGGAGCTCAATACATGAAAAGGGATCTCTGGCAAAATGCCCGAACATACTGATGATTGAAAAAAGAAGAAAAGACATTACAACTAGTGATTTTTTTTCTATCATCTTCTTGGCTCTACCAAGAAGATGATAGCAAGATATCATATAATAAATAGAAGTTATGAAGCTTCAAATCCTTTTCGTGACATATGTTAATATTGAAATACTGAAAATTAGTTGCATCATTCAATACATATATATCGTATGGGTATGATATAAAAATCAATAAACTTATTAAAATAGTTCATGAAATAAATATTATCAATATTTCCATGTTCTCGAATATAATGCAACACTCGCATATTTTTCGGAGATAATTTCATACCTTTCGTAATCGAAGGTTTTTTAAATTTCGAATGAAAAATGTACAATTGGAATTTTGCAAAATTAGTCTATGGAGGTTTCTCAAGAGGTCTTCTAAATGTGAGCGCTGGTCCAGTCATATTCTTATGAAGTGGTGCAAACCCAAATTTAATCTGAACTCATTACTACCTGCTTCATCTTTCACTGCCTGAGTGCATTGACTTGGGATGTGGGGGTTGAGCAAACCAGCCATCAGATGCCTGCTTCCACGTAGCCCCGTTGGATACGGGAATGACAGAATCACTTGTGGTTCTGTTATTCCCTAACTGAATAGCATTCCAACGATGGCTTAACCCAAGGTGTGTGTATCCGTGCCGGACTTTTATGGACAGAGTAAACTTAAAAATTTTTTCTGACGCTGAGCTTATAGAGAAGATGGATATCGAGCTTACGACTTCAACTGACCTCCATCTAAACTTAGATCAGGAGCGAGTCTACAGAGGAGATGGATGTCGAGTTTACGACTCTAACTGACCTCCCTGTAAATTTAGTTCAGGAGCGAGAGCTTCTCAACTCCCCAACTCCTGATCAACACTTGAACCCTCAAAAGAGGGAAACGACTGAGTCGTCTCCTCAAGAGCAGGGTACCTTATAAAACCGCCTTGCACCAAGTTCTTGAGCGGCTTATGCAGAATCTGTCTCAGGTGGAGGAACAAACCCCCCCAGAGCAGGTTAGCAAACGTTTGCGTTCAAGTGATGATGCACCAAAAGCAGAGGTGAAAAAGCCCTGCACGGCTGAATTTAAGGCAGTAGCTGACGTACAAGCAGTAGCTGACGTACAAAAACCCTTATATGGGAAGGTTGTCGTGGGTTTCAAGGTTGGAATCTTGCAACTTGACTATCCGACTACTTCATTAACTATATACTTTGTGCCTGCCCCGCTGGGGACCGAATCAGGTCTTTAGAGTTCGGCAGAGCCGTACTCTTACCACCTGACCTGAAATATCACTCACCATACAAAGTAATCGGCTTCGTTAGGAAGCTGGGTTTATTTGGCCGAGTGGGAATAGGTGTGAGCCACAATAAACCCTTGCGGGTTGCGGTGGAGGGACGAATAGACCCACTAACTAACCTACCAAAAGTTTTTTCTTTTTTTATGCTTTCCTAACGGCGCAAAAGTAAAACAACACATCTAAAATTATGTCTATCAAACACCTTGTGAATGTGGTGAATCCTACAAGAGAAATTGAGAGGCTTTTATTAGTCCTTATCCGCAAGCACAAGAATATCAAACGAAGACAGACCAGCAAGTAATTGCACCTCTCAACACATTATCTAATGATTTGTAGTACATTTTATCCATTGAGAGGAATAAGCATTTAAACAGAAGGCCAGAGAAGTAGCACATACTAAATACACCAATCCAAGACCTTCAAAATGAGTCAGCCGAAACTGTATGTGAATTATAACAATCTGTAGCTTCTGTGTAATTCATTTTGAAATATTTTTTCACTAATCTTTCAATTTGCATTTCTCTTCACTGTATTTATTGTTAATTTTCCTCTTACCTTAGCATAAATTAAGCACTTTCTTTAAAAATCACTTCATTTCTCAAACAACTTGTTCAGCTCACAAATTATTATTATGTTTGTTCAGTTTACAAATTATTTTTCGCTTTTTTCACACTATCCTGAGGGCATTTTAAAATATGTAGCAATTCAATCAAATATTGGCCACACTGTTCAATGATTCAGTACTTGCCTATAATTATTTTGTGGTCTATTTCTGCATCTCAACCTATAGTCAAGAAATGTTTTATGTGGGTATCAATATGAATTTCTCTCATAAGAAATTAGGCTTTCACGGCTGACATCATCATGAATGAAATCCAGTCTGATAGGCCAAGGTAGAATAGAAATTGCAGTTCCGAATGTTTCGCCCAGTGGTATACGAGTGACTGCAAGAACGAAGGTAGTATAAGTATGTCGAAGTCTCCGAAACAATTGTTTCAGAACCAAATAAATCCTGTGATCTCTGACAACATGGCAATCAAAACTTTCTACTTATACGCATTACATTATACAAGATCTCCTTCATAGACATTTGTATCTTTGCACACAACACATAAAGGCACAAGAAGTTTCTTTCTAGTAGCATCTGTGATTTTGTAAAACATACTCGTTAGTATCAACACGCCTGAGGAAGCTATTGTATAGGGAAACACATGTTGTGGTTTTGTAAACTGTTCTGTGAAAATTTCACAATAAAGTTTATTGAATATATAAAATTATATGACATTTAATTAGATAATCAAGAAAGAAATCATCTTTTTATCAACTCCATTCTTCAGGACGTGTTGGAGTATTATTTTTCAATTGTTGAACATACACAAAAATCCTTAATATATTTTGCTGTAAATTCTGTCAAAGGTGAGTGTTTTCATAGATATACCAAAGTGAAAAATTAATCCTGTATGATTGAGCCAGCAGATAGGTATTTGACGGGGATTAAAGGTCATTATTGTGAATACATATGTGCCATTATTTGCAGGTAAATATAAACGGCTTTTGTTTGGAAATGGTCTAACAATAATTCACTTTATACTCTCTCAATTGCCTATCTGCTAATTTCACCATTCAGAATTGAATTGGTATATCTCTGAGAACACTTTACATTTTTGTTCTTTAGAGAAAATGCTATAGAAAGTTTGTATCACATATAACTTCATTTTTCGAAAGTTTTGACTGAGAATACAATTAATACCTTCATTACTATCACTTAGTTCTTCAGCCACGAATGTAACTTTTAATAATTGTTGATTGTACAATTGAAAGATTCACATCACTTTCTGCTTGACTTCAATCAAAATAATTTGCAGCTGGTTCTGAAAATTTTTCTTCAATTAGTCACGTAAATGATGAATTGGAGTATGACCAATATATTCATGATTTCTCCCAAACGCTTTAATCCTACCATAATTTTTCCCATCAAAAACAACTTTAACGTTAATGCCATAGTAAATGGTCAATATACTGTTGTTAAATCAATTACAATGGACTTTTTCGAAAAAAAGCCATACAAAACTGAATTTTAATAAATATCATACCAAATTCAAGTTTGAATCTCAGCTGTTCAGCTTCCAAAGAAAATACTTAGTTGTTTTGATTATTCAATTAAAGTATGAAAAAACTTTGCATGTATCATTCAATAAAATGAAGCATTTTGTTTTGATATACGTTGTATTCCAAAAAAGACATTCGTTTATAAAATTACATTATTCAATACTTTACATTAAATTAATACTATTTGGGAAAATACGTCTTTCTTCTAAAATTTTCACATGAATAATCATAGTTAAAAACTTTTTCTTGCAACAAAAAATGTAATTGTCGAATTTAAAAAAGGGCGACTTTGTGTAAAAAATAGGTAGATCTTTCCCAAAATTATCTATAACTTTTTGATGGAAGCAGTTTTGAGAAAATTATATATGACAATAACAATAAGATAAACAATTTGGCAAAGTAATGATAGTCCAACTCACCTCAGAGGAACTTCAAACAACAAGCCAACTTTTGATAAGGTTTAATTTAAAAAATATATGATTTATTTTTTCAATACTACATTCATTTTTTATTTTCTTGCCAAAGTAAGGAATTGGAGAAAAATTACTGGCCAAAAAGTAAATGTTAGTCATTAATCATAAAGTTCAGACATTTATCCTATACATTTCTTTTCTGATGCTTTGACAATTCACTAGGTGTATACAATTCATCATCCACTCATTGGATGGTAAACAGAAAATCTGTTTTAAGAGTCATTGCAATACACGAATTTGGCCATTGTCTTTGCATCGAAAAAACAATTATATTATTTACTCTGCCATAATGACTTTCCTGCTTATAAAAAAAAATGTTTCAATTATTTCCGAGAAGCAGAAATAAAAGCCAAATCAACAGAAAACACAAAGAGTATTGGACTTGAAATAAGTCTCCTCATTGCACTGCGATTACTTTTGCATATTTTCAAGAGGTTTTGAAAGTAAATGGTGCAAATTTACCTCAATTCAACTAAAATGAAATAACATTTTAGTATATTAAAATAATCTATTAAAAATTAATTTTTGCATAAAAACAGAAAGTGTAGCTTACAAGTTTAAAATGTTCGTATATGCCTCAAATACTTTTTTTAAATATTTCAAGTCACCCCTCGTGAATGAAGCCAAAAATATGTTCAATACTACATGTAACTTGAACTATTTTGTGAAAGTTTTTACAATAGAAAACATGATTCCCAAAGTATAAATTACACTTTTGCCTCAAAACATTAAAACCTGATTAAACATAATGATTCGTTTTAATTTCAAAAACCTTTAAAATAATATTGATTTCATTTCAATGGCCAAATTCGGTCATTGCCTAAAAATCAGTATAGCACATGGTGGCTCATACAAAACGATTGAAATAAATGAATGAATAGTGCATTGGAAATGCGACCCCTTCACAAAAAACACTAGACTTCTTTAATTTGAAATCTAGAGCCATACCAGAGAGATCAAATTGATAATTTTTATCATAAATAAATGTTAAAATTCCAGTTGAATGTTTTGTTGTCGAATAATAAAAATTCTCAAAACAAGGGTCAGATTTGTTCTTAAGAATATTTGATATAATGGAAAATAACAGGGAAGTTTCATACATTCAAAGATTTTTTATGAATGTAGTTACAGATGTAGGAAATAATCCCTCAAACCATACTTTCTGAATAGGGTTTCTTAGGATTCCCCTTGAGAAAAGTAAAAGAAATTCAAGAGAAGGAAATTGGTGTTGATGTAGTTGTTTGGCTAAATGGTTTGAATGTTCAATAGTGGAAAAATTTGATACTGTAGTAAGACATAGCCCAATAAAAATGAAGAATATATATAATTGGAAGGTAATTTTATCCTACAATATAAACATAAGGAGATACTTGTAAGCCAATTGAAATATAGAATATTATTATAACGTCTACTATTAAATATACAAATTAACTGAATATACACAACTATTAACTGAATATTTACAACTAGAAACAATTACATATTTCATATTAATTATGTGATGTCAAAGACCTTTGGACTAGTATGGAAATGAATTCCTTCAGTCTTCCTAAAACAATAATTGTTTTTGATACTTTAACGCTTCCAAATATATATCGCGAGAAACTATTGTGTGTGTGTGTCTCTCAAATGGACGTTAGGATAGTTCATTGGTAATAAAACCGTAATCTGAAGTTGAAATCAATAATCTACTCAGCTGAAGTCAGTTAGTTATCCACGAAATTGAAAACTATCTGGAGTTTTCACAAATTTTGAAGAGTTTCAAGAGAATATTTGCCAAATTCAATAACTATGTTAGGTATATCAACAACTATTCTCGTTACGTGAATTATAAAATGAAAATGAATGAAAAATGGTAGATGCAATTGCACGGTGCAATTCTGCGGCAATATATTTATTTTTCAATCAATTAATCTGAGTAGAGGTGTTACCAAGAATGCCAAACAAGTTACAGGCTATCTACTTTGACAAATTGCACATGATCAGACTGAATCTGCGCCACCCTTACACTTTCCAGCACACCTCTAGACCATGTCAAAATTACCCCTTCAGCTTTCAACCAACATCAATTATCAATCAATTTCCTATACTGTCATCACATTTCTCTTTAACTGGATTATTCATTGACCAAAGATGGAGTCGCAGTTTCGAGTAAGCTATGTAATATATGAGCCACCCTTCGTCATCAACGTTTATTGAATTATGCAAGCTTTCTTTTTATCATTGACCAGCCGAGATCTTGATTTGTATTTAGAGAGAAATTCTAGCTGCTTGGCATTGATGGCGCCTCGCCTCTTCTCTCTGATGAGGTCGACGGCGTCTTCATAGGTGAAGCCCAACTCGATAAGAGCTACAGCAACCATAACAGGCGCCCTACCAAGACCTGAAAAATATATATATATTAATGAAGTGATTTTCATTTTCACAATGACCAAAAAATTCGCGCAGTACAGGTAACGCTCAGGATCTTAAAAGAATATTTTATTTGAACTCAACAAAAACACATCTCTCACACACCAGAATAGCATTTATCCATATTCCTGATTTTTAGTTTTCCCTTGTGGAGTATTTTTCCTGTGCTCGACACTAAATACTGCCAAAGGCCTCTTGGCCAGACTACTCCATTGACATGGTATACGATAAAAACAATTTTTGAAGTCGTTGTTCACATTTGGAGGTTCATTTACGTGGGGTTGCTATGAATGGTGTGTCAACGTATAAAGAGGGTTTCAATCTTATACTCAAAATTCAATCAATCTTGTCCTCTCCAATAGTTTTCTGACTATGATGATTCACGGAAATTTAATTATTTTTTTCCATCTGATTTCAGTTCAATCATCCAAAGATGTGGATGCAGTATGCTATTCAAAATTAGACCGATGCCAAGGATCTCGAGTCATCCATCGAAATATTGTCTGCCGAAAAGGTATCGACTGAGGACGCCGAGCATGCAAGTCTTTATGACCTGAGCGTGTGCTACGATAACGAAAGTATCCAACTGTGTCTTCGTGATGCTGATAACTATAAGAATGTCGCGGAAATTTGGAACTGAATCAACTTTGTGAGCTAATATTTGAGTTGAATCAGGAAATTCCTGAATTGTATTCGACCATACTTAACAAAATGGATAAATCGAGAGTTTCACTTGAATGATAAAAATCATGAGGAAGTTGAAGACAGTCACGAAAATAATCACCTCGATGACTAGATTGTTTATATTATATATTCCAGTAAATTGTAAATAGTATGAAAACAACTCTGTAGTATCCATTGAAGAAACATTACAAAACAAAACGTAATGAAAATTGAAAGTGGTCTGTTTTTAGAAAAGATTATTTTTTGGGAAACGAAGATTTTGGCTTCACACTTCTCCATCTCTATACAAAAAATGTGAGAATCTTCCAAAGAATGAAAGAATGCAAATAATTTCAAAATAAACTTTTTACAAAGATGTGTAGATCATGCATGTCAAACCCTGCCTTTACTGTGCATGCAATCCACCCCTCAAATTTCTTGTTCAAGGTAAACTCTACGTAGCAGGTCATACTGAATGCACAAGGACGTCCTTCAAATCACGTACTGGATACACATTTTTCCAAGTCATTTTAATGACATCATCAGTCATTAAAATGCCATTAATTACGTCATAGTGGTGGGGGAGGCTGAAACCTGGCTGTAATCTCCTACTGGAAGTATCTCACTCCAATCTTTAAAGCGATACTTTTCTGGCAGGTAGAGAATTAGTGATCATTGAATAAAAATACTAATTCATAATTCAAATAACGACATAAGTAAAGTGTCAAGGGTTATAGTATCTCGCTATATCTATAACGCAACTCAAGACGTACTAATGGAAAAAGATAATTATTCTTTTCATAGATCACTTATCGCAACGATTGACAAAAAATATATAGAATTCGTTACATTAGTAACATTCTGTTACTATTGTAACGTGCTCCAATTCCGTGCTCCAATTGGTTGTCCGTAAGGAAAATTCTGCAAGAAATGAAACATACCTTACATTATGAATACACTGCTGCGTTTACGGAGCGGAATTTATAAATGTATGCACGTTGATCTGGCAATTCATATTTTTACGAAACAGCTTGCATTGCATTCGCGTTACGTAATCTATAAATCCAACTAAAATTTCAAGGGTAATTCATCCTGATTCATATTTCATATGTTTCACTACCTGTTGGAGATGATCACAAGCATTGATTCACGAAGGTGCCCCCTATTGAAGATGGTTTAATATCTTGAGAATCACAATTACTTCCATATTCTTACCTGCAACGCAGTGAACAGCAACACAAGATTCCGGATTGATATTGTACTGTCTCTTGAGGATATCAAAGAATTCGTCTATAATCTTCTCGGACGGAGAAGTACCGTCCGGAATGTTCAGGTTGCACACCTGTATTCCGGCCCCCTTGAGAGCCTCTGTATCGTAGGTCGGTTCACAAACCCTGACGACAATTTTGACATTGTGTTTTTTTAGTTCTTTAATGAAAGCGTCCAAGGTGGTGTTCGATGGATTTTTCGTAATCAGGAACTTGAACCCTTTGTGGGTGATCATGGCGTAGTCGGCCATTTTGTGTTTCTGTAACAAGAATTCATATTAACATTTGGAAAACTTAATGTTCAGGAAATTGAAGTTACATGTACGACAATCGTAATAACATACATGTGCAAATATCCCTTTCAACATTGCATTAATTACGTGAAAATCGACAATGTTTATAATGCAATAATATTGTAGTATTTCTACCAGGTGAACCATCAAAGTATCAGATACTTGAAATACTATGACAATGAATAACCTGCGATTTTGGATTGGAAGGTTTGTAATTTGAAGGCAAAGCATACTGTAGATTTTATCATTAGTAATGACCCAAGGATACCGATATTTGCGGTATACGGGGTCCCAACAAAGAAAACACAAAGATGTTGGAAAAAATGTATTTATTTTTCAACATAACCTCCTTGCAGCTCTATACACTTTTTTCAACGATCTTCAATAAGTTCGATACCGTTTTTATAATAAGAACTATTTTGCTCCTCAAAATAGCCATTAACTGCAGACATCATCTCTTCATCGTTGGGAAATCTTTGATCACTGGATTCATTTTTTCAACTTTAGGAACAGAAAATAATCCGAGGGGCTGAATCTGGTGGATAGGGTGCATGAGGTAGCAATTCAAACTTTGTCTCGGGTATAATGGATCCATGTTTCATCGATGGCTATGAAACGACGCAAGAATTCTGCTTTGTTGTTGTGAAACTTCGCTAAAACATCTTCACGACACTGTTTTTGCTCGAGTGTGAGCAAACGCGGCACCTGTCTTGCACAGAGCTTTCTCATGTCCAAATTTTCAGATAATATATGATGTACCGCACTTTTTTAAATGCATACTAAGTCTGTTAGCTCGCGCACTTTCAACTGAAGATCATTCAGTACCGTTTTGTGGAGTTTCTTCACCGTTTCTGGAGTCGTCAGCTCATTAGGTCGACCATTGCGATGCTCGTCTTGGCAGCAAGTACTGCCTCGTTTAAACTGTGCTACCCAATATTTTACTGTTGTAAACGGGAGCTGACTCGCCTAGAGTAGAATCTAGTTCAACTTTTATATTGGTTGGGCTGAGGCCTTTCAAATGAAAGTTTTGTACTACATAACGATGACCAATTTTCTCCATTTCCACGAATTCACCGAAAACGTTCGCTATTGATGGCTGCTAAACAAATACTAAACAACGCAGCAACTTCAAACTTGAAACATGCTTTTCAGACTGTGTACTTTCTAATACAGTGATAATTTTCAAACAACTACTGCCATCTCTAGGTCAGGACGGGTACTTCTAGGACCTTCCTGGTGATTTAACACTAACACCAAGTTGCTGTTATTGGTATCTGCTGCAACTTAGAGACGATATGTTGAAAAAAATTTAATGAATTTATAAGTGTTACTTACTAGTTTATTTTTCATGAGTTATATAGTTCAAAATATTTGCAATTTATATTAAAACCGAAATATTCTAGAAAGTGTATTATTATTATTGTTTATTTAAACCCATAATTTCTTCGCTTCAAACCAGACGATTACCCCTCTGAGCCATAAAGAAAACTTGCATACTCTTTTTTATATTGGAATAAATAGTACAAATACTGAAAGTGGACTCATGCACCAGTTTTGAATCATTTGTTGTTAGAATTTATGTTTTTCATTTATCACTACTAAAAACTTACAGCTCATGCACATGAGATGTAAGTTTTTAGCGATTTTTTTCCGAATTACGACTTACGACTTAGTCTGGGTGGATGAATCCACCCTGAGTATAATACAACCCTGTAATGTCTACAGTAAACGCTCCTAATGAAGTTGAGGAAAAACAATGGAAATGTTCCAGGCTACCAAAGTTTCTAGTGATGTTTAGGTCTCCAATTAGGCGGGTGGTACTTCTCTGAATATAATCTAGTAGTTTCGTGAAATAATGAGTGATTTTTTGCTGGTATCTTCTTGGCAACACTGTTTTGACAGATCACGCGTGAATCATGTGTCTTGTGTCATTGTCAAACTTGTTCAGTTTGGTCTATAATTTAACCATGAATCGACTTACGAATGAACAACGCTTGGGAATAATTGAATTTTATTATCAAAATTCATTTCGGTTCAAACTTCTAGATATGTATTGATTGTATCATCTTAATCATTGATTAGGTAAGAAATGTTGATATTTTTGCAAATTACGAAACAAATACATTGTCGTAATATTTTTGGGATAACGCATAGTTATAAAAAAACATTCATACGATTTGCAGTTTCTAAAACTTTTCCCATCCTTGACTTTAATCATTCCATAATTACTTTGAATGGTTACCCGCATATTTTATCATTAATCACAACATTGAATTTGAAAAATGGTAGTATATGAATTATTTTGAATATATCAAATTCAGAAAGAAGAGATTTTCAATGTCAGCTTTACAAAGAGATGGTTCCTGAATAGGCTATCATTGGTGACGATACATATGGAGCCCGTGTCATAATTATTCCTCATTTTCTATATTTTCAATGTCATTGTAATCTATAAAATGCTGAACCTTGCTGATGACCTAAAGGTAACGGATAAATTCATTTTTTCGATACTGACAAAAGTTAGACAGGCTTGTAGGGCTATATAAGTATTCACAGTTAAAATCATAAACCGTGAAGAGTGTATGATGAACAATCATCTCAGTCAATAATACACTTCTATTTTTCAGGTGGAAGTTCGCAATCTTGAAACCTCATCGAATGAACTGATCAATATTCTTAATGATGACCAGGTTGCACTACGGGCATTAGTGAACCAAATGGCTTCTCTCTCTCTTTAAGATTCACGGTTTTTGACTCCATGTAGGCGCGTTTGGACAAATTCAATGGCTTCGAGACTGGTCTAGGAATGCCCTGAAAAACTGACAACCAAAAGCTAATGAGTGGGCTAAACAAAAACTATATATGAGCCCTAAACCAGTTAAGGCAGTGCTAAAATCTATGGTACGAAACCAAATTAGGGGATGGATCCATAATAAATTTAAAGAGTACTAGTAAAATATACCTGGCAACACATAGGAAAACCTTTATGAAAGGAGGACCGTCTTTGAAAATAATCCGAGAACTCCTTTCACAGAGCAAGGATCGGCTCTGAATAATTATAGAGCTACTCACTGGACATTGACCATTCAGGTGACAACTGGCTAAAAAATATAACGGATATCTCAGTTACAGGTAATACAACATAGAGTCAGAAACAATTCTTCATGTTTTATACGTAAAAGTTTTTGCGAGTCGTACTCTCCAACAGCGTGGCAACACTCTGTCGAATTCTTTCGTTCTTTATTAGCGTTGCAATGCTTGTACTGTTGTGTTAGGAACTGCTGTTATTAGGCTTGTTTTTTTACGCTTTTCAGTTATCAGAACTGAAGGGGAAGTTTTGGAACGTCTCGTGTAATCTAATGAACCTAATGAGAACACTTTTCTTGAACCTTCTTTCTTCGCATCATTCGCTGCCCAAGTTAGCATCATCAGAAGATAATAAAAGATCATCAGAAGATGTTCAGTTCAGATTCAGTTACTGGACCGTGACTTAAATTCAAGTTATGTAATTTTCATGTCTACCTTAGGAGTTTTATTGAAGAACTAATGGTTTATGAGTACCAGATGGTTCAGTATTGTAAAAGTACTACCGTAGGCAGACTTGTGACGTCAACTAGTCAGAAAGCGTTTCGATATGACGCATAAGAGAAGTAAGAATTGAACACTGAGTAACTTTTTGTTCGGAAGAAACCAATGCTAGCAAGAAGCCTTTATTGAAATAAAACAAATAATGTCCAACCACCTGACAAGTATATGGAACTATCTTTCTTTCTAGCGAATAGTGACTGAATGCGGATTGAGTAAGAATTTTATGAGGACATATGAGAGATATCCATCGACGGCCACTTGCAGGGACCGTTTTTTCCTAAAGCTGGAGAGCCATACACAAAAATGATCCGACAAGCTATAGCATCGAAGTTTAGCCAGCAAACCCTCAAGCCATACATGGTCGGAGGCGCAACAGCTCTTGACTCTCCATGTTTCTCGATTGCGTTATTCCATACGATAGAAGGTCGCCTGTTGATCTTTGTTTCCGAAAGCCATATTGATGATTGCTGAAGATGTTAAAGCCTTCAAAATATTCAAGGATATGGTGGTTTACCGCTTTTTCCATGGTTTTTGATATCATTGATAGCAAAGCGACCGGTCTATAGTTATTTGGAAGAATTCTCTTTCCTTTTTTGGGAATAGGCTGAACGCGAGCAATCTTCTAAAAAGAGGGAAAAATCCCTTTCTTGTAAGACAAGTTGAAAAGTCTGCACAATGCTGGTGCGAGTTCATTTGCGCACTTTTTAAGTACGATGACGGGCACTTCATCAGAACCAGACGCCTTGTTGATATGATAGTTGGTGGTGTCTTTCCCAAAAAATCGACCGTGGATGCAAATCAATCAGCTAGCTGATTTGCTTTTTCTATGACTGTTGTTGCAATTGAACCATCCGTTTGAGTTAGTGGTGGAATTGATGATTTTGTAAAGTTTTGATTAACAGCTGTAGCTACCGACCAGAAGAATCTAGACTCATTGGGATTGGCAAGCAGTTCATCCATAATTATCTGATTGTGAAGTTCTTTTTTTTCCTTCATTCGAAGTTTGCAGCTGTGGCGAGCATCAATAAACTTAGTTAGGTTTTTGGCACTGGGATTTTTGTGCAATTGTCTGTAGGCGAAATTTTTGGAGGCGACAGTTTGCTCGCAATTTTTGTTGAACCAAGGTTTGCCGTTAGAAGTTCGTTCCATTGAAACAGGAATATATGCATTCATGGATGATAGAACAACTTCCGTGACTGCAGAAGCACACTTCAATGACTTTTTGAAGAACATTTTGTCTTATATCGGTGTTTCCATAGTAGATACCATTATTTTTTCGATAATTATCATCTTTGGCGATCATAAGAAATACTCTACAAATGCGACAACATTCGAATTATAATCATGATTAGAATCTAAAAACATGAAGGTGGTTCACA